GGGTGAATGTAATACAGGTTTGAAACAACCCAAATCTTGATCCCTGGGCAGCTGATGTGCACTTGCTTTCCTCACTAGTGGCCTGCAATTAGAGAATGATATATACATTGTTCATAATTTTAAGAAATGAAGAGAAAATGCTGATAAGTCAGGCTCAAGTGATAAATCACTTCAAAGCTAGAAATAAAATTTAAGAGTGCTTGGGTGGGAGAAGGCAACTTCCACTAGCAAGTTTCCACAAATTCCACATGTGGCCCTTCCTGAACCATTCAGTCACTAATCAACCCAGATGGGAAGAGGGAAGAGGACACTGCTGAGAGCCATTGCCAAGTAGGAATGACGCATCGCAATTTCTTTGTCAGCCTACTCCATGTTGCTTAGAGGAAGGACTCTCCATGGTGGACCCAGGTCATTTGCAGTGACTTTGCATGAAAGGTGACCTTGCTCAAGGACCAGGGCGGATCCGGGTTTAGGGTGGATCAGGGTTTAGGGAGGATCGGGATTTAGGGCGTTCTGGGTTTAGGGCGGTTCCAGGTTTAAGGTGATTCCTGCTAGGAATAGGGCGTATCCTGCTGCCTCAGGCGCCTTGAGTTCCTGTTGAGTTCTCGCGGGATTCAGAGAATATTTGGGATTCAGAGCCTGGTGGAGAGTGTGGATTTTGCCCAGAACGTGTTTGTAGAGTGCCGGTATGAGTTCGGGAATAAAGAATTGCTGTTTGAATCTACAAGGCTGTGAGTGGCTCGTGATTTTGTGCCCAGCCAGACTGCGGCAGACACAATGTCCAAGTGAGTGTGAATCTTCTCTTTTCCACAGTACTTTTTCCCACCCATACCCCATACTTTATTCTTGTACAATGGTCCCCACTTAACCATGGTTTCAATTTCAGTGGTTAAGTAGGGACAGTTATTCACCATCAATCATGGTCTGAAAATATTAAGTGGAAAATTCTAGAAACAATTCATGAGTTTTAAATTTTATGCCATCCTGAATAGGGTGATGAAATTTCTCACCATTCTGCTCTGTCTCACTGAAGAAGCAAATCATCCCTCCATCCTGGGTATCCAATACCTAGCCACCTTGATTATCAGATGAACTGCCATGGTTATCATTATCAAGAAACTCTTTACTTAATAATGGCCCCAACCACTAGAGTAGTGATGTTAGGAATTTTATTATATTGTTATAATAATTCTATTTTATTACTATATATTTTGGTTGATCTCCTACTGTGCCTAATTCACAAATTTAACCTTATTAGAGATATATGCTCAGGGACTAAAAAAAAAAAAAAACAAAAACATAGTATATAGGGTTCAATACTAGCCCTGATTTCAGGCATACACATGGGATCTTAGAAATATCCCCTAAGAATTAAAGGGGTACTGTCCTTCTTAAGTCAATCTACAACTTTTTCTTTTTTGGAGGGGTACTGGGGATTGAACTTAGGGGCACTAAACCACTGTGCTATATCCCCAGCCCTATTTTGTAATTTATTTAGAGATAGGGTTTCACTGAGTTGCTTAGCACCTCACCTTTGCTGAGTCTGGCTCTGAACTTGCCTCAGCCTCCTAAGCATCTGAGATTACAGGCACACGCCACAGAGCCTGGCAGCCAATCTACCACTTTCTTTCTTTTAAAATTGACACTCTTTTTGTAAAACTCCTCTATGATCAAATGGAGTAAAAAGAGTACTAAGATGGCACCCAGAGAGAAACACATGTTCACAGTAGTTCTAAGAATTGCGGCTTAGATGACACCATTTGCAAATGTTGATGACCAATGTGTATACTGAGCTTCAATCAATCTGCAGGGAGCTATGGATTTTGGTTACTATGGTACCACAATTTAATGAAAACAAGTCAGTTTCTTTGCAGTCATCATAGAGCCAATGAACTGTAAAAGAATGCTTTATCACCGATACAACTTGCTGCTGCTGTAGGAGTTTATGTGTTGTTCTGAAGGTCACCAATAGGACATTTAATGAAACTGAAATAGAATACTGTAGATTAGATAATGCTCTGTTAAATTTGATGAATTGGGTAATAGTATCATGGTGACATTAAGAGACTGTCCTTGTTTTGAAGAAAGAAATAGTGCATTTTGGGAGGTTAAGTGCCTGCAATGAACTTATAATTACTCATAAAAAGTCTACATGTGGAGAAAGAATGAAACAAATATGCCTACTCTTGGCACACTGATTCAACTAACCAATACCAGCTACTGCCTACATCCACATCATTTGGTCATTTTTGGCAAAGATGGAACACATATACCACAGTGATTCCACAAGACTATACTGAAGCTGAAAAATTCCTATCACCTAGTGACATAGTAGCTGCTGTTATAATATCGTAGCTCCCCATTTGATCTGCTTTTGGTGATGCAGGTGTAAACAAATCTACCAGGTGCTGCCAGTTATATAAACACACAGCAATACAATTATACACAGTACATAATATTTGATAACAAGTTGCTATGTTAATGGTTTATGTATTTACTATCTATACTTTTCATCTTCATTCTAGAGTGTACTCCTACTTATTAAAAAGAAGTTTGTAGCTAATATCATAGCTCCCCTGTAATCCCAGAGACTCCACAGGCTGAGAGGCAGGAGGATCAAAAGTTTGATCCCAGCCTTAGCAACTTAAAGAGGCCCTAGGCATCTTAGAAAGACCTTTTTTTGGAGAGGGGGGCAGTACTGGGGATTGAACTCAGGGGTACTCAACCACTTAGCCCCATCTCCAGCCCTATTTTGTATTTTATTCACTGAGCACTTCGCAGTTGGTGAGGCTAGTTTGAACTAGCAATTCTCCTGTCTCAGCCTCCCAAACCACTCAGATTACAGGTGTGTGCAATTGCACCTGGCAAGACTCTATTTTAATATTAAAAAAAAAAAAAACGGCTGGGAATGCGGCTCAGTTGTTAAGTTTTCCTGGGTTTAAATCCTCAGTACACCCCCTGCCCCAAAAAAAGAGTTTTTAAAGAAGTTTATGCAGAACAGTATGCTGTGTTACCCTAATAATAGCCTCATCTACCCTGTGTTTACTATGCATTGTGATTGTGTTTCAAGACCACTGACCTATGTCCTGAGTGGTTTGTGCAAGTACACTTAGTGATATTCACACAAAGATGAAATTGCCTAACAATGTATATCTCCGCACGACTATATATGAGAAAAATAATCCAAGTCAGTGTGGGCTACTTTACACTTTGCAGTTCAGTGTGTTCCTTACACAGAAGGAAATCAATGATCATGTTGTTTATAACTGATAGGGTTGGTGCCCATTTCTGGCTCCTTTAGGAGACACTGGGGCAACAAAAAAATATTGTTTTTTAATATTGTGTAATTCTGTCTAATAAAGGACAGCCTAGAGAGCTAGGCGGACAGATTCAGCTCCCTTAAATCTGAACTGTGGTCTAAATATTGGTGAAATGGTCATGCTCACTTTGAATTTAGTTTGGGCTCTATCATTTTGGGGCCATTAAAAGTGATAATTCTAGCTGTCTTAGAATTTGGTACCAAATTTAAGAGAGGAAAGGAGTCATGTGTATGAAGATCAAGTGGGTGAGTTTGATGCAATGATTATTTCATCGTATGTAAAATGGGGACGGTAACAGTATTTCTCCCAGGCGGCTGTTGCACCCAGTACAGTGCCTGGTAAACAAAAATGCTAAATACTCGGTTACAAACAGTCACATGCCTTGCCTAAAGCACACAGAAAATGGAAGAAAGATTATTTTCAACCCAGGTCTGAAAGTCCTCAAGTCTTTCCTCTCCCTTTAAAAACAACTTTTCTACCTGTCCCTGTCTGCGGTTAAACCGAAGCCAGCAGATCCTTCTTTTCTAGCCTGTCCCCAGCCCCTACCAACGCCTGGCCATTAGAGCTAAGTACTCGAGTTAGGTACTCGCTGAGTTAAAGAAAGACCAGCTTTCTAAGCCTGAGTTAGTTACTAAGTAGCTTAGTGACCTCGGGCAAGTCAGGTGTCCCCGGAAGGGGCTGTCCTGGTCTTGCAGGAGCAATCGGCCTAACCTTCCCTCGCCCCAAATAACCCAGAGTCATCTCCTCCAAACGACAAAGACTTCGCTGCAACCCGACACGCGTGCCCCCGGACGCTGAGCGCCGGGGACCCACTGAGAGGCCTGCCGCGAGTCGCGTCGCTGAGGCCCCGCAACCCGAACCTCGGGCGGAAGTACACCTCCCACAAGCCCAATCGGCCGAACCACCTCCGCTCGGGGAGGGGATGGAGGCGGAGCTGCAGCCCTGGGGCAGGCCGGAGCCTCCGGGGTGTCCTGCCTGTGTCCTCCAGGTCAAGTTCGCGGTGGGGGAGAGTTCCAGTTGCCCTGGTAAACCAGGTCATCCGCCGGAATCGGGCAGGATGATAGGCTCCGTGCTCCGAGAGGCCCCCCAGAGTAAGGCCGCAGATGGTGTAGCCCAGCCGAGAACCCGGCTGCGGGCCGCCGCGCCAGCGCCTGGGGAGTGAAGGGCGACCCGCCCACGCATGCGCAGAGGCGGAGCATGGGGGCGGGAGTCGCGGGGCCCCTTCCCCATCCCGGTGAAGGTGAGTAGGGGCCAGGCGGGGCGTGTCCCGGGTCCGGACCGACACTGCGCTGTAACCTTCTCCGTCCGAACCAATGCTCAAGTCCGTTGACCCCAATCGTTGGAGGTTCCCAGGAGCTCTTTTGGCGTTTACATATAAAATTCCCACTTTCAGTTAAGCCATTCTAGTATTCTATAGCCTTTGTCTATGTACATGTCCCCTTTATTGGACCATGCATTTTTAAAATAGCAGCGAACATTTGCTAGGGCCATCTCCCCTGTCATCTTTGCTTTCCCAGCACTCGTAGATAGCTCCTTCCTAATGAGCTATGGAGCCTTAAGTCTTTTGGACGCTTGATCCTGCTCAGTCTAGATAACCAGGTACATATTCTAGTGCTCTCTGTTTTATGTGCCTAAGTCTTCTTATGAGAAGACTTCCGAAACGATGAAGACCATGACATATTAATTGGAAAAAATGGTTTGTTTGAAGTTTATAACCTGCTGAGGATACAATTAAACGTCCTTATTGTGCCCCCCCTCCAACCATTTTGCTTACACTTCATTATACAACCTGGTTAAATTGCTTAACCTTTGAACTACATTTTCTTATACAATGAGAAGATTGGATTAGGTGATCACTAAGAACTTCCCAGCTCTAAAATTCTGTAATTAGTGAGGAGTGGAGTCCAGATTATGTCACAATATGTTAATGCTAAACATCATCGACTTCCATTTCTCTTGTTAACATCAGTGAAATACACGCTGTAAGAATTTTGTCAGCAACATTAGAAAGAACTGTCCCTTGCTGGATGTCCTGGTGCAGTTCTATATTCCCAGAGACTCAGGAGGCTGAGGCAGGAGGATGGCAAATTGGAGACCAGGCTCAGCAACTTACACCCTGTCTCAAAATAAATATAAAAAGGGCTGGTGGATGTAGCTCGGTGTTAAAGTGCCCCTTAGTTCAATCCCCAGTACCACACACACACACACACACACACACACAAAGAATGAATTTTCCCTTACTAGATTTATAATTTCACATCTTCTTTTATTACTAAAAATAAGAAATCAACTGATAATAACTTTGTTCAACCTGAATTTGTTGTCATTTTATAGTTCATTGTGAAGAAGAACTCTGGGTACAATGATGAACAGAATGCATGTGAGGATGGCTCAAATCTTACGATCTCACCAGATAAGTGCTTCACGGATTCCTAATGGAGTGAAAATGCTTCCGTATCTTGGTGTCATTAGAAATAGAATGATATCAACCCATAAGTCCAATAAGAAGATCAGAGAATATTATAGGCTGCTGAGTCTGGATGAAGGATGCTCTGCAGATGATGTCAGGGAATCTTTTTGCAAGCTTGCCAAGAAATACCATCCAGATAGCGGCTCTAGTACTGCTGATTCTGCAACATTTGTAAGAATAGAGGAAGCTTATAGGAAGGTACTTTCCCATGTGGTAGAACAATCACATGCCAGACAGAATAAAGTTGAAGAAATGGAAGAAGAAGAAGAAAAATTCAAATATAATACACCCCAGCACAGGCATTATTTAAGTTTTGAAGGTATTGGTTTTGGGACTCCAAGTCAGCGAGAGAAACAATATAGGCAATTTAGGGCAGATCGTGCGACTGAGCAAGTGATGGAATATCGAAAGCAGAAGCTACAAAGCCAGCACTTCACTAACAGCGTAACTGTCAAAGATGTCAGACAGAGCAAAGAACAAAAGATAACTCAGGCAATCGAGCGTTTAGTGGAGGACCTCATTCAGGAATCAATGGCAAAAGGAGACTTTGACAATCTCAGCGGGAAAGGAAAACCTCTAAAAAAGTTTTCTGGGTGTTCATATATTGATCCCATGACTCACAACCTGAACAGAATATTGATAGATAATGGATACCAACCAGAATGGATCCTAATGCAAAAGGAAATAAAAGATACTATTGAACAACTCAGAGAGGCGATTTTAGTGTCTAGGAAAAAACTTGGAAATCCTATGACACCAGCAGAACAGAAACAGTGGAACCAAGTTTGTGAGCAGTTTCAAGAAAACATTCGAAAACTAAACAAGAGAATTAATGATTTTAATTTAATTGTTCCCATCCTGACCAGACAAAAAGTCCATTTTGATGCACAGAAAGAAATTATCAGAACCCAGAAAATATATGAGACCCTTATAAAAACAAAAGAAGATGCAGATAAAAGCCCAAATGACATTAATCAGGAAGAAGAGAAAACACCTGGAGTCAAGACAGGTCTTTTAAACTGGATGAATCTGTGGAAACTTATTAAAATATGATCATTTTGATGTTCACTGTCACAGTGCTGCTTCAGTTCTTTGTCAGTTGCACTGACATCAGACATAGAGGTGGAGATGTGTTGCTATATCATACGAATTTGAGAATTGTGTGCCTCTGTAAACTTTTCACTAAACTAATCACTTCCTTGGCAATGTGTGAGAAACTGCAGACTGAGTCAGAGAGTTATCAACCAGCTTTGCTCTGCGAATATAGCAAGAAGAGAACTGACTTCTAGGGGAAACAATTTAACCCATGTCAGAGTCTAAATGCATCTCAGGTAAAATGAGCTAGAACTGAAACTCAGACTTGAGAATCATTCAGGTTATTCTGAAAGTCTTAGTGCAGTTTCAAGAGCTAATAACTTAAAAGCAGTTACTGATTGCCATTTTCAAACATAGGTACTTAGACAACAACAAAACCTAAATATGCATTATCAAAACAAAAAACTAATGAAATATAATGAAATTTAACTAACCAAACCTCTGAATGATGAATGTTTTTTGCGAGTTTGCTGCATTTATACTTCTGAGCTTATTAAAGCTCAAAACTATTCTAAGATTTTTGGAACATCCTCTTAAAAGCTAAGTTCAGGAAATTTGCTTAGTGGAGTTTTGTACTCTTCTTATTACAAAGACCTTCGCTGTGAGTATTGAATGAAGAAAATACCAAACAGCTAGGCTGTACTTTTGCCTAACTTCATGATCCATTCTGGCTGCAGAAATCAATTATATCAGCTAGTTGATTTAGAAATTCTAGAAATAGACTCCAGTGTCCACTTTTAAAGAGGCTTATTTGTTTATTTTTTTAATTTTCAGAGATAGTAAAAATTCTTAGGCTCAATGCAAATATAAGATTTCACTTCAAGCTTCATCTCTGATCACAAGGTTGAAGTGTTAGGTTTCCATAAGCCTGCCTGTGTCTTAAATTCCTCAGAGGCTTTTCAGTTCATGTGAAAATCCTAATTTATTGTCTTATGGACCCAATTTCCTGTCTTACAGACTTTTTAATAAACAAAGGTATGTAAATTTTATGCATTTGCATCTCTTGCAAATGACAAAAGATTGAAATTCTTGAGGTTTTTGTCCTGTCCACTTTCAGGAAATTTGACTTTTTAAAGTTTGGTTAATTGCTTTTGCCACAAAATTGGGCACCTAGAAGGAAGCAGAGGATGGTGAAAAGGAGCTGCCCTGTACCCAGAGTGCTGTGATATAGATATGATTCAGAAGCACAGCACTCAGGACTCTGATTTTGGAAGAAAGAATTATCGTGTGAAGAGTGTGATAATTAAAACAACAAAGAAATGTACATCTTCAAAAGGAAATTTGGGGGCTTTCTGCTTGAATCATGGGATATTAATTGGTATAAAGTGATTTTTTTTCATTGAGTTATCTATAATTTGGCTTCTGTAATGATAGTACTCTGTCACTAAAAATTGTGACCAGTGTAAAATGTAGCTTTATAATAAGAGCTGTAGTTCCACAACATTTTAGGAGCCTGTAATTCTGTGAATCTTGTTAAAAATGGGAGTTAGACCTGAAGAGCTGATTGTATTGCAGCAAGCACATATTAATAAAAACATTTTCAATGTTGAACAATGCGAAGGTGAGGTTTACCAAAAAATTGCAATCATTAATTTCAGGCACAGTGCACTTTATGTTTGTAAATGTTTATATTAATAAAATTACTTTAATGATTATTCAGTGGTCTGTATCGCATAAACAACTACTAGTAATAATAACCTTATTTTTATATTTTTAATATTTTTATTTAATAACCATGGGTTTTTAATTCCTTTTAAAATCTTTTTCTTTTTTCTTTTTTTTTTTTTGTACTGAGGATTGAAGCCAGGGATGTTTTGCCACTGAACTACATCTGTAGCCCCCCAGCTTTTTTTTTTTTTTTTTTTTTTAAGTTTGATACAGGGTCTCTCGCCTCACTAAGTTGCTTAGGGCCTCACTAAGTTGATTGAACTTGTGATCCTCCTGCCTCAGCCCCCAAGTCACTGGGTTTACAGACATGCATCATCACACCCTGATAAAACCTTTTTTTAAAATTAATAATATTGAAGCTGTGGCATAGATTCTCCATGTTATGAGGAAAGGTTTTTTTTTGTTGTTGTTGTTGTTGTTGTTTGATTTGGTGGTACTGGGGATTGAACACAGAGCCATCTACTGTAACAGGGATTACTTGATGTTTTGACTGTATCCCTTGTCACTTGAAACTTACATTTTTTTTCCCCCAACCTTCTTCTCTCTGACCCTCCCTGATCTCATTTTCTTTGAATCACCTCTTTATCCTGCTGATGGGCAGAATCACAGCCTTTGGAATAGGAGTCCTTGTGTTTCTCCTTTGCTAGATGAATAAATTTATTGCTAAAGCCATAAATCTTTTTCCTTTTTCTCAAAACCATGTCCTCGTTATTGGATTGACATGGGGACAAGGACCCAACTTTCGGCAACACTACCACTGAGCTGCACCCCCCAGCCCTTTTTATTTTTGAATTTTAAGACAGGGTCTCACCAAGTTGCTGAGGCCAGCTCAAACTTGGGATCCTCCTGTCTCAGCTTCAGAGTCCCTGAGATCATAGGTGTGCCTCACCACACCCAGCTGAGGGAAAAACTCTTTTAGGTAAAAACAGCCTCAATTATTTAAGTAACCAAATTTCAGGCCCCCAAAAAGGATTTGAGCTAGTTTATCCATTTGTCATACTGGAATCGGTCACTTTCAATACAGCCTTGATCTTTTCCTTTTAGTTTTTCCACCTTTTCACCGTCAGCTTTTCTGTTTATTGATAATTTGTTGAGGTTCCTGATCTCACTAATAGGCACATATCCAACTCTGCGGGTTCTTAGCCTTTCCATGGCTCCTGTCTCCACAATTCATTCTTCAAATGCTAACACCAGGGCTCTGGCCCAAGAAGCCAAGGAGAGAGTCTCAAATCACTGCAGCTTCTGTTTTCTAGATGGTTTTTGCTCAAGTTCTGTTCTCCTGAGTCTTGGCTTCAGTAGCTGTGCTGGTACATCAGGAATAAGGCTGAAATCCCTGAAGAGGACAGTTGTATTCCTCTTCCTATTCCTCATCATGTACCCCACAACCCACTTAGGGACTTAGTTCTTAGAAACTGTCTTCCCAGGCTGGGTCCCTTAACCTTGCCTCTGCCTGGGTACATTACTATCTGACATATTTTTCTGGCCACTAACTACTTGGGTGGTCCTCACTGGGCCTCAGGTACCTGTTGGGACATTCCAGTATCCTGAGCTGCCCAGCCTAGGGAAGACTCATGCTGATTTGCCTCTTCTTATAAGTACCACCCTCCCTTTTGTTCATTCAACACACATTTATTGAACTTATAAAACAGAATCCATCATTTCCCTCTCTGAATTCTCAAAAAATCTATAATTGTGGGGTGGGGGCAAAAGGACTCCTCAGCCTCAGAGGTTGGATACCAGCTTTGCTCGGTACCACCACCTTGGTTCCAGGTAAGGGACACTGTGCCTCTCTACACCTCTGACCGAAGGGAAGACCCACAAAAGTCATAATTCCCCCTTCCTGGCTAAGACTGGATAGAAGCCTTTAAATACCACTTTCTTCAGAGCTCAGGATGACATAAGGGAAGGAAAGACAGTCCCTAGAATAGGACATCCTTACCCCTGGCCCTCTCCAGTTTGCCTCGGAGGCCAGCTCCTAGCCTGCTGTGGAGTGGCAGAGCCTACTGTCCTCCCATCTCCTAGAAAAGCCCTAAAGTGCCCTGACCATGCCTCCACTCCCAGAATCTAGAGCCCAGAAAGTAGGACCAGGGGACACAGGGCTTTTTCTCTCTTGCCAAACCCAACGTCAAAGTTCTGGCTTCCTGTGGGAGGACCCACATCTTCCCCAGATGATTGACATGAATGCCATCCCTCCTCCCTGAAGAGAGACTTTACCTGTCCATAGCAGGACAGATACATCCAAATATACCCCTAGTAATCTTAACATTTGTTCCAAGAGAGCCTACCACCTCCTGGGTGGAGGGGTCCTACCTGGTATATAAAGGTAAAGAAGACATCTGTGCCCTTGAAGACCTTCTAGCAAGAAGCACTTGGTCTGGTGGCAAATCTGCTCTGAAGTTTACAGATGGATCTCTGTCCCATGTGGATGAGCCTGATGCAGGATCCTTGTCCTTTCAATTCTTCCATTCAGTCACAGCATTAATCCACTTGGTATTACTACAAGTTAATACCCGAGGACGGTTGACATTATAAATAAGAGGTTTATTTAACTCACTTTCGGAAGTTCAAGGTCATGGTCCTGGCATTGGCTCAGCTTTGGTGTGAGGACCCTCTTGTTTGCATCTTATCATGGCAAGAGCCCCTGTGTAAGGGAGAAATTTTATTTGGAAACAGGAAGTCAGAGAGATACTGGGTGGGGCCAGGCTCAGACTTTCATAACAACCCTCTTGCCACAACTAACCAGGGTCACATGAGAAATTGAGAAATGCATTAGGCCCTTCCTAGAGCACACCCCCAATTAACCTAAGGACCTCCCACTAGTCCCTACCTTTTAAAGGTTCCACACCACCTCCCAATAAGGTCACCCTGGGGACTAAACTGCCAACACATGAAATTTTGGGGAATACACTAAAACCGTATCCAAACCACAGCACACAGCTATATCATGATTTGCCATTTGGCTAAGATTTAGCCTTAAGATGCTCAGAGCTTTGCTTAAATGATGTAGTGAACAGCTGTTCGACTTTTGGGTAACATCATAAAGACCCATATTTACGGTGGCATGCATCATTCAGCTGGCTGGTTCCTTCCAGCAGGAAGCCAGACCTGTGAAGTTGAACTTAGCAGGAGACAAAATTCTTAATTTTCTTAAATATGCTCAGAAATGGGATATTGACCTAGGCTCTGCCAATAGACCTTGACATCGGGAGGCAGTTCAGAATGAGATGTGGCAGGTAACACACTGGTTCTTCATGGTTTCGCTTCACAGGTGCAGGAAGGCAGTGACTGCCAGGTGGAATTCCTGGCACAGAAAGGGCGTCCGTTCCAGTAGCAGTGGCAGGCAGCTAAGTTCATGGCTTCAGGAGTGTGGTGGCTATAGCAGGTGATTTTCTCACCTGGCCAGTTCCTCAGTGTGGTTGTGAGCACTCTTTCTGTTACAGTGGGAATTGCCTTTTGTGATTCAGAACTTCCACGGATGCAGATAAGAGCAGGAGACTCTCACAGCATTGAGATAAACAGGAGTTGTAACTGGATTGTGGCCCGTGAAGCACAGGCGCTCTGGCCAAAATCTCAGCTCTGCCCCTCTATAGGCATGTGTGTTTGGACAAGTTACTGAGCTTCACTGACAGAGATTTCTCAACATAGGAATAATGGTCAGTATGGTGAGAATTAAAGAGACAAATATGTAATCCAGCACAATTTCTGATGCATGAACACTTCAGTCTAAATATTAAATTATATGTGCTCTTGTGCTCATATAATAATAAATGGAAGTTCTTATTTTTATTGAAGATTTATTGATAAAAGTGTTCCATAGTTCTTTTCTTGGAGAAGCCTGATTTCAAAGCTAATCTTAGCAGTTTCAGTGAATTTTTTTAAATAGCTGACATTGCTCTGTCATGCCTTCATGACAAAACTACTAGAAGGCTTTAGAAGGAAACGGAATTGGTTGGACACAATAGCACACACCTATAATTCTACTGACTCTGCATCCAAGGCAGGAGGATCACAAGTTCCAGGGCAACCTAGGGCAACTTAGCAAGGCCCTGTCTCAAATAAATAAATAAATAAATAAATAAATAAATAAATAAATAAAATAAGTACTGGGGATGTAACTCAGAGGTAAGGCACTCCTCTGAGATCAATCTCCATTACCCCCCCCCAAAAAAATTAGGAATAATTCCATTTATATGAAAAGTCTAGAATAGGTCATTTATAGAGCTAGAAAGTAGATTAGTGGTTGCTTAGGGCTTATAGGGTTTGGGAGGAAATGGAGAGTGATTGTTAATGGATATGAGGGTTTTTTGGCAGGGGTGAAAATAGGTTCTAAAATTGATTGTGGTGATGCTGCACAGCTCCGCAAACATACTAAAAACCACAGAAATGTGCATTTTAAATGAGTGAATATTTAGTGTGTACAAAACTGTTTTAAAAAGAGAAAAAAACTAAAAGCACCCAAATTTGGTAGTTTGAGCACTCCTTTTTCTATAGACAATTGTCTTTGGAAGCATACAAATATTAGAAAACTGTTTTAAGTCACATGAAACCTAAAACAACCGTCAGTGTTTTTAAGAATTTAAATTAATAGAATTTATATCCATAGCAAAAGTTGATTTTTATGTACAAATTTCTGGAAAAACAAACTGTCAGTATTCCCAGGCATCTGATACTGAATCTTTTTTTTTTTGGTACCAGAGATTGAACCCAGGGGTGCTTAACCACCGAGCCACATCTACTGCCCTTTTTAAATATTTCATTTAGAGACAAGGTCTTGCTCAGTTGCTTAGGGCCTCACAAAGTTGCTGAAGCTGGCTTTGAACTTGCAATCCTCCTGATTTAGCCTCCTAATCCTCCTACAGGGATGCATTATGTCTATCCCAAATCATTCTTAGAGCAATTGTTACTCTCAAGAAACTGAGGAATGGCCTTACATAAATGAGAATACACAAAGTGGAGAAAATCCCAATAAAAGCAGCAAATTCGGAGGCTGGGATCATAGACTATAGCTCAGTGGTTCACTCCCCAGCACTGAAAAAGAAAGGAAGGAAGGAAGGAAGGAAGGAAGGAAGGGAGGGAGGGAGGGAGGGAGGGAGGAAGGAAGGAGAAAGAAAATGTACATCTTGTCAAAGAATTTTTTTAATTACATACACAATTTAATCATATACACAAAAATTTTCACTCTAAAACTCAGCAGGTATTCGGGTGCATGCCTGTAATCTCAGTAGCTCAGGAGACTGATGCAGGAGGATCATGACTTCAAAACCAGCCTCAGCAAGAGAGGTGCTAAGCGACTCAGTGAGACCCTGTCTCTAAATAAAATACAAAATAGGACTGGGGATGTGGATCAGTGGTCGAGTACCCCTGAGTTCAATCCCTGTACCCACCCCTAAATAAAAACACAGCAGGTGACAAAATTAAGATTTCAATTTCCACTGTTTCCTGTTATCTATCATGTAGCCCCACGTCTCTGCTCTCCTTTCCCTCTCCTCTCCAACTTTGCCCAAGAAGAAGTGGCCTTGAAAAGTCACAGCTCCATGGCTTTCTGGCATTAGCTGCTCCTGAGTGTCAGGGAGCTGGCAAAGGAGGAAGAGTGTCTGCTTATGCGTTTGGGTCTCAAGAAATCTATTCTAAATGTGTCACTTAAGGTCCCTCCTGCCCACAGCCCCATGGATGTATCCAACTGGCTAGTGAAGTTGTTACATGGCACAAGATAAGCTGATAAATCAGATTCTTTATTTTGGAAAGAAATTATTACAAAAACGTAAATACATACATATGCTTGTATGTATATATATGTATACATGTAAAGGATAGACATGACTAAATCACTTCCCTTGTACTCTAGACTCCCCGCATCCCGACCTATGGAGTCCACTTCCTAGGTCCAATTGCCATCAACAATTTCATGTATAGCTGTATTAGTTTTATTTTGGGAGGAGGGCCCGGGGATTGAACTCAACCACTGAGCCACACCCGCAGCCCTGTTTTGTGTTTTATTTAGAGACAGGGTCTCACTGAGTTGCTTAGCACCTCACTTTTGCTGAGACTGGCTTTGAACTCTGGATCCTCCTGCCGCTGCCTCCCATGCTGCTGGGATTATAGGCTTAAATTTTTTTCTTTAAAAAGAAAAGCTTGTCCAAAGCCATTCAGATGTAATTGCTTTTTTAAAAAAATATGTCTTTAGTTGTTGATGGACCTTTATTTTATTTATTTATTTATTTATATGCAGTGCTGAGAATTGAATTGAACCCAGTGCCTTACACATGCTAGGAAAGTGCTCTACTACTGAGCCACCACCCCAGCCCCACTAAGGGCTTTTAAGTAATACTCTGTATAGTTCCATATGGCTGTCCCTGTGAGCCAGAAGTAGGGGAAGTTACTTCATGAATTCCCCCCAAGCACAATGCCATTCCCTCCCCCATCATCATGGCTGTCTCTTAAGATGAAGCCCTTTCATAGGAAAGAGAGCTGGAGGCTGCTGACCCCTGTCAAGGAGAGGCACTCATCTGGCCAAGGCTGCATTCTAACTTGAGTGTCACACTGTCAACCAACAGAACCACCTAGCCATGGAAGCTGTAAAGCTTATCAATAATTTGGTCCTTGTTGTTTTGCTGGTTTATTTAGCTTTTTCCTTAGGCAGGTCTGTTTAGATAAGCTTCTTATAATTCCTTTTCTTGAGGACAACAGTCAAGCTTTTGTTGGTGGTGAATTTTATGGTAAGACATGGGCTGAACACTAGGTTAAGCTACTTGGTCACCATCCAGGGGATGGGCTCACAGATGCCACAGTCTTTGCTTCTTGTGTTCAGCTAGTTACGGTAAATCAGCTCCACGGTGAGACAAGGCTTCACAGGATGATGGCATAGCACAGGAGTTTGCCAAGTATTTGTTCTATTATTGAGTGATCATTTGAAAGATCATGTAGATATTTTTTTCATGGATCATAACGGTCTAAAAAAGAAATTTGGGACTTGCATGATTTAAGGTCATATATTAAACATTTGCTCTCTTACCCTGTACCTGTTATTGTCACTACCAAGGAGAGCCTCCTGTTTATATTACTGTGCTTCACAGTGCCCTTGGAGATCAAGAGGTCCCCTTCCCTGGCTCAGACAAAACCTTAGACTTTAGCACTTTAGGTCATTGTTTTAGTCAGCTTTTTTTGCTGCTGTGACTAAAGGAGAAAAGTTTATTTAGGGGCTGTCAGTTTCAGAGTCTCAATCCATAGACAGTAAGCTTCATTTCTCAGGGCTTGGGGTGAGGCAGGACATCATGGTGGGAGAGTATGGAAGAGGGACCCAGCTTGCATGAAGATCAGAAAGCAAAGAGAGAGGCTCCATTCACCAGCTACAAAATATATACCCCAAAGCCACGCCTCAATTCCCACCTCCTCCAGCCACACCCTACTGCTTCATTTACCACTCAGTTAATCCCCATCAGGTGATTAATTCACTGACTGGGTTCAGACTCCTCATAACACAATCATTTCTCCTCTGAATCTTCTTGCATTGTCTCACACATGAGCTTTGTGGGGACACCTCACATCCAAGCCAGAACAGTCATCTACTGTCTTCCAGTGTCTGCAGTTATCCACCAGGTGCTGCATGAGGACCAGCAGATGTGCAAAGGCATACCATGCACTGAACATGTCTATTATGAAGTAGTCGATG